TTATTGGTATAGTCTTCAAGGTTGTTAATTTGTCTTGTTTGTGTCGATTAAAATATCCATCTATCTAAAATATCAGTCGAGATATTTGCGATTGAAGCAGATGGGGTCGTATGTTGTCAGAGGCTCATAATATGACCTTAATCAGTTGCGAGCGCCGTAAAACACTGGTAACTACATATAATTTACATTTTTGGGCCTTTTAGCAACATTTTGAAAGGAAGATCCACCTACGAATGTGTTTTTAAATGGACATAAAAGGTGTTGAGCCCCAAACAAAATAATCGGTAAGAATTGCCAAAGGAATGTAAAAATGCTAGTCCCTTCGATTAAAAAAAAAATTATTTTGACGAGCGTCGGATTTAACCACGATGCCTCAAATATGTCACCGTGTTGGGAGAACGAGACGCTATAGTCACTTATAGAACATGCACAAGGTACTGACATACATGGGGTTCCTCGGAAGACTAAGGACTAAACTAGGTCCATACTTATATTCTTGTCGGCTGTCTGTCGTTTTTCGGTTTTAATTTTGTTGAAGCATAATTTTTTACTAGTTTCATAGATACCCTCTTTCTCCAATTAGCGACTTTTCTGAAGTAAAAACACAATTATATCACATCTCTCGAAAATAAACAAGATGCTGTTGGTAGTTGGCGGGTGCTCTGCTGTGGTTTGCTCCTTCGTTCCTATCTAATTTCTATCACCATGATCTCTCCCCGTTCTTTTTCGTCTTTATAACGCCTCTAATCTTCGGCACTTATATGACCTCACTGTGTTTCAAATGCTGTAGAATTTTTATATTAAAGAAAAATCATCGACAAACCACTAACAACAAAAAAACAACAATCCCAAACAACAACAACAACAAAACCAACTCCCCCTCCCCCCCACATAAAATTAATGAAAATAACTAGATTTATTCTATTTCTTCCTCAGCATACGTAACTGGCTCAAGTTCAACAGTGGGTCGAATCTTCGACGCCATCCGATTCGACCCCTCCCCCGACCCCCACCACGCCCACCACACCCCTCCCTCCCAGCCGCCTCCATCCCTCCCCTGTCGCCCCTCCCCCCTGAGCGGTGACGAGCAGCTCAAGAACGAATCCTCAGACTCCTCCAGCTGCGGGGACCTCCCCCCTGTGGACGGACAGGGCGGGGACAAAGAGACAGGGGGCGGGGCCGTGGGCCTGATCCCCGGAGTGGGCGGAGCTAGTAAGTCGGAGGGGCCGGCCAAACCTCTGCACCACAAGCTGATGAACGTGAGCGCCCAGCTGGAGATGAAGCAGCTGTGGGACGAGTTCCACACCCTGGGAACTGAGATGATTGTTACGAAATTGGGACGGTGAGTAGATCGAGGCTTTTGTCGTTGTCATCGTCGTCAGAATTCATCATCATCATCATCATCATCATCATCATCATCATCATCATCATCATCATC